TTTTTATCATAACCCACTCAATTACTTACAGAATAATAATAATTAAAAAATTTTTTTTTATTATTATCTTTAGTCACACATTATTCTTGAATTATTAACTATGTAATACTTTTTAAGTTCATCCCTTATGCCTGGTAAAAGTGTCAACTTTGTTTTTTTAAATGGTAACACATATTTTTAATTTAAGAAAATGTTTGAGTTTTTAATTCAATAGTAAATGGCATTTGAATTTTTAATGAATCTTAATTTGTTTATTAGATATAAACATTTAAAGTTTCAAATTTTTGAGTTAATATATAGGTATAATACACAAGGGATTACAAATACAGGTAGCTAATTGGTTTTTTATGACATCGATATTAGCAGGTACACAGCATTGTTATTATCAATGATAGTAAGGTACATTGTTGTGAGTTTATAAATACACTAACTGACAATACAAAAAGTATATCTATTGATAGTCATAATTGATAATAAACAATCCGTGACTGTGATAGCAATATCATAAAAAACCAATTAGCTACCTGTATTTGTAATCCCTTGTGTATTATACCTATATATTAACTCAAAAATTTGAAACTTTAAATGTTTATATCTAATAAACAAATTAAGATTCATTAAAAATTCAAATGCCATTTACTATTGAATTAAAAACTCAAACATTTTCTTAAATTAAAAATATGTGTTACCATTTAAAAAAACAAAGTTGACACTTTTACCAGGCATAAGGGATGAACTTAAAAAGTATTACATAGTTAATAATTCAAGAATAATGTGTGACTAAAGATAATAATAAAAAAAAATTTTTTAATTATTATTATTCTGTAAGTAATTGAGTGGGTTATGATAAAAAAATCACCCTGTATATATTATTTTACATGAACATAAGGTTTATATGTATCTGTCATTTATTTACTTATTCCCTTTCCCTTTCTTCTTTTACTTTTACTACAATAACTAAATGTTAAATATTTTGCAATGGAATATTAGAAGTATCTTATCTAGAACACAAGACCTTGCATTTCTTATCCACCAAAATGAATGCTAAATTGTTCTACTCTCAGAAACTTGGTTACTTCCAAATAAAAATTTTCACCTTTCAAATTTTAACTCAGTCCGCTCTGACCGACAAGATGGTTATGGCGGTGTCGCCATCTTGATCCATTCCCCAATTCAATTTCGTCCCATTACACTTAATAACAATCTGAAATAAATGCTCAGTAACTTTTCAATCGACCTAGTTGGTATCAATGTATTAATGCCGGACAATAACACCTTTCAACTATGGTCTATTTACATTCCTCCTTCATCTAATCCCTCTACTCTAATAGTTTCTGAAATTTTTAAACTACTTTCCAATAACTCCATTATTGCAGGAGATTCTAATGGTCATCATTCTGCCTGGGGTTCATTAAACTCCAATTATAGAGGCAATATTATTCACTCAAACATCAGTCAGAATAATTTATGTATTCTTAACACAGGTGCTCCAACTAGAGCTAACCGGCCACTGTTTCCGGATACTGCTGTTGACCCAACAATATGCTCCCCTAACATTTCCTTGTCCTCTTCTTGGTACATTTTGGGTGATCCTCACGGTAGCGACCACTATCCTATTGTAACAAGTCTTTCTATACAGCCCACTAAGAGTTCGGGTCGCTTCAACTGTGACTCTTCCTCCAATGTTTCAGATAACTTAAGGTTTAATTTAGACTTAGCAGATTGGACCTCTTTCTCTCTAATTGTCTCTACCTTACTCGAATCTTGGTCTGAATCCACCTCCCTTATAACAAATTATAACAATTTTGTTGATATCCTAATAAGAGCAGCAAAACTTTCAATCCCGCGTAAGCGTTCGAACAATATAGGTTTTAGCCATTCTCCTCCTTAGTGGAACTAAACCTGCACCACTGTAGTTAAAATGCGCTCCTTTCATTTCAAAAAATACAGATCCTCAGGTTCTCTTCATGACTATATAACATATCAAAAATCAAAATCCAACACAACCAAAATTCTAAAAAAGGAAAAAAAAACTCTTGGTTAAATTTATGCAGCAATCTACACCCTTCAACGTCCATCTCTGAATTTTGGACCAGAGCTAACATATTCAAAAACTGTATAAATCGTCCTTTTTCCACCACCAACAATGACTGGTTTGACGACTTTTGTAATAAAATTGCACCTCCTTACGTTCCTGCCTCTAACGAACTTGAATTACATTTTTCAGACAATTTAGCAAATAATAGTAAAAATAGCTTCCTTTCCTCTCCTTTCAGTCGTCACGAACTGTCCTTTGCTATCTCTTCAAGGAAATCTGCTGCTGCTGACTTGGATAATATTTCTCCTTTTTTTTTTAAACATCTTCCAATAAAAGCCTTTGATATTCTTTTAACTATCTTAAACAATTTATGGATTAACAATATCATTCCTGAGTCTTGGGAGCACTTCAAAGTAATTCCTATCCCTAATAGTGGTGCTGCTACTAAAGCATACCGTCCAATTGCCCTTTCATCTGCCTTCTGCAAATTAACAGAATTTATGCTAAAAACCCGTCTGGATTGGTATCTTGAATCCAACTCTCTATTATCTTCTAACATGTTTGGTTTTCGACGTTGACTGGGCATAATGGAATGTGTATCCTCTTTTGTTGGTCCCGTGTACCATTTGTTTTGTAACCGCCAATTTACTACAGCCGTCTTTGTTAACGTTCGTGGTGCATTTGACTCTGTTAACATCCCTCTTCTTGTTACACGTCTACTCTCCATCAACATTCCTATATCGGTGTGCAAATTTATCTTTTCTTTATTTAAATGCCACCTCCTTCACTTTAAATCGCCGTTTGGTCCCTCTTACCAACATATTACTTATAGAGGTCTTCCTCAAGGTAGCTGCCTCAGTCCTATTTTATTTAACATATATACTGCTGATATAAGCAAATCACTCACATCTAATAATTTCTCTAGTTTACTTTACGCTGATGATATAGTTATTTTCTCTTCCCATAGTTCACTTCAGGTTACTGTATCGAACATAAATAATGCACTCCAGATCATCTCCTCTGTACTCCAGCTTTCCTATTTTGAATCTACCCCAGAAAAAAGCAAAGCTATAATATTTACTAGAAAACACATCCTACAACACCCTTCAATTTTGCTTGATAGAGTTAGTTTATCCTTCTCTGATTGTGTTACTTACCTCGGACTCAAACTAGATCAGAAACTCTGCTGGATGCCTCACTTAAAGTACCTCATCTCTTCCATATCACGCTGGTCTAATCTTCTACGTTCCATTGTAGGTACCTGGTGGGGCTCCCATCCCTCCTCACTCTTACTTATTTTTAAGGCTCTTATCCGCTCTAAAGTTGACTATGGTTCCTTTTTATACGCCTCGGCTTCCACTGTTCATCGTATAAAAATCAATTCTCTACTCGCTGCTTGTTTACGTATAATTATAGGTGCAGTTAACTCTACCCCTAATATGAGTTTAGAAGTAGAATGTGTATGCCCTCCAATTGAAATTCGATCTCGTTACTTACCCCATAAATTCCTTTTAAAACAGATATCCAGTCCTGCCAAGTTAATATTTCATTGTGTTTATTCACTAAGCTCACTTTGGCAATATGTACCCAAAACTCTTCCTCTACTTGCCTCAATTTCTACTACCTTGATTCCCTACCTTAATTCCATAATTACCTCAATCAATCGCCTACCTATATACGACATTCTATTTCATGCACTTACTTATTTTCCAAAAATTCACTTTAACCATCTATTTCTTTCTTATAGCAAGCCTCAATTACAATCTCTCACAAACTAATTTTGTCAATTATTTTTTTGATGAACTCATTTCCTCTCGTTTTGCTAACTATTGCCTCATATTCACTGACGGCTCAGTTTATACTAATTCCGCCGGCTTTTCCTTTTTTATTCCTAGTCTAAACATGAATTTCTCAGATAATCTCCCTTCAAAAGCTTGTTCATTTACCACCGAATCTTATGCAATATCCTCGGCTCTCGAATTTGTCAAATCACTCAATATAATATAATAAATGTTCTGATTGTCTCGGATTCACTGTCAGTTTTATCCTCTCTTTCCTCAATTCCTTTTAAAAAAAGTAGATCCTTCCTCACAATCAAAATTAAAGCCTTAATTTATAGTCTCTATTTAATGAACATTAATGTTGAATTTTTATGGTGCCCAAGTCATGTCGGAATATCTGGCAATGTGATAGCAGACCATCTAGCCATACTGACTAAATCCTTCAACCAACCACTTATCCTAAAAATTCCCTCTTCCGATCTCATTTCCTCTTTTCATCTAACTATTAATAAAGCATGGCAAGATAAATGGTCAAATTCCTCTTTAGCTAACTGGCATAAATCTATAGTTCCAACTATCCCTAAACGTCCTTGGTTTTACAACCTCCCTCTATCCCGTTTCCATATTATCTCTTTTTCCCATCTTAGATTTGGTCATAATCGGTTACCTAGTCATGCCTTTAACATGTCACTAAACCATTCCCCCTTCTGCCCCAAACACAATGATGAAGTTTCCTGTAATTTTCCTCATTTACTATTTGATTGCCCACCTTTACAACATAACCGTTTACTCTTGTTCAATTTCCTGTCCTCCCTTAATATTTCACCCATTAATAGTTTTAATATCCTTAATAATTAAAAAGTTTTAATCCTCCTCAATAATTATACAAATAATTTCCTTCGTTCATTCAGCTGGCTTTGTTATATAATATTTTTCTGTATGTTAATTTAATATCCTAGGTCTATTTTGTTTAGTTCTTTCTTTTTTAGTATTTTGAGTAAGTTTAATTTATTATTTTAACAATATGTTTAATTGTGTTTAATAACAATATTTTTTTTTCCTTTGTATAGTCTTAGTTTCTATTGTATAGTTTTATTTTAATCGTTTAGCTATAATAATACTTCTGTATTGAAAGCTAATAAAAAAAAAAAAAGTGTTATAAATATAAAAAATATACTTACGAATGTCCTCTGAAGTATGCATGTAAAACTTTTCCATTAAGCTATTATCAAAATTATTAATATTAACAGTTAAGTACATATTTATGAGTGTTAATAATTGCTCATAATGTCCAGCTTGTCTTAAAAACAAACCACATTTAAAAAATAATTCTAAAAACAAAAATAAAAAATGTTAAAATGCATAGTTTTAAAAACAAATAACTTCCCCATCTTACCAACAATTTTTTTATCAATTTCTATTTTTTTTTCAATTTGTAGATTATATTTTACTTTATTAATTGCAAACATTGCATCAGAATAACTTTTCAGCACATCAATATTATTACAGTCTGATAAAGAGCTTTGAATCACATTTATATAATGATACCATAGAGTTAAATTTGTAGAGTTACATTTATTAATTTCTTTTAGCAGTTCTTCTTTCATCTTTAAAAAAGAAATGATACTTAAAAATTTATAAATTAATGTTTAAAAGTAAGGGGAAAAAGTATATATATATATATATATATATATAATATAAAATTGACTTTAAAATATGGGTGTTGATATAAGTTAGATTATGTTTTTTATGAAGTTTAAAGTTAAACATATGATCAAGGATATATATTATCCTTGCATACCTTATCTGATGTTAATAATTCAGCAGCAATTGTCCATCTTTTATCTAATAGTATATGACATTCTGGGTTTTCTAAAAGAGCTTTATCCAATATAGCTAATTTTTTTTCCAAAATACAATTTCTATTTGACAAAGTTCTTGAACCATAATTTTTATTCAAATTATGTAATGTGTCCTATAAATAAACATTATTTAATTTTATATAGAAAGTGTTAAATTTATAATTAATTAATAATTTATACCTGAAAATTTACAAACTCAATCCATAATTTTACATCCTTAGGATTTTCTAACAAACATCTATTATAGTCAGAAATCCTAAGGGTCAAATTTTTTTCACACTTAACTGAATTTAAATTTGAATTTTCATTAGCTAAATTATCATTCAATGGAGAATTTAACAATAATTTATTTTCTTTTAAGTCATTATCATCATTATTTATCTCTATAGAAATATCTCCAAAGTATTTTTCTTTATAACAATAATAACGCTTTAATTTTTTTGGTTTAGATTTTTTGTATACCCAACCATATTCATTTAAATATTTGTATTTGATAAAGTGGAAACTAAAATAAAAATATCATTTAATTTATAAAACAAACTATATTATTTTACTAATTTTAAAAATTGTTATTTTCATAAATAATAAATAGTCATAAATATAGCATAGTCTATAAGTTATTTCATTTATAATGTACATCAATTGTAAATGTAAACAGTAGAAATTTTAATTTTGTTCAAAATTAGTTTTTGTTAGCTTATTTAATTAATTTAATCATAAAAAATAAGAATAGAACTTTATAATCGTTTTTAACACGGTTGATTTGTTTCTTATACAATATTTGAAACCAAAATAATTTTAGTTTTAAGTATTTTGGTGTAAATTAACTATTATTATACATGATAATTTTTTTATGGTAATTACACTTTATTAAAAAATCCAGCACAATGGGGATGTGGCATAGTTGAATCAAGTATAATGATATCTGACAGTGATTAAAATCACTATAAAAAAAAACGCTTCAATGCAAATCTTTATATAGTGTTTAATTTAAAAAAATTGGTGGATTATTCCAAAAACTTCATAAACTGCTAGTTCCTTATTAATATCCTGATTAAGATAAAGTATGTCGAATAAAAAAGGGATATAAATATTATTTCTCATAAAAAAATTGTGTTGATCAATACACTTTTCAATAAGTTATAGCATTATAAAATTAAAAATGTAAAAAATAAAATCGAGAATTTTCATACAAAAATAGCACTTGTTAGCCATTTTCACCGTGAAGACAAAAATAGTAAAATTAATATCTTCTCAGTTTCGCACCGAAGCTAAAAAAATAAATATAATGTAATTATGTTGTTTATAATATACAACAATTTTTTTTTTTTTTGGAACACTAAAGCTTTAATAACTAAACTTATTAGCCTACTTTATAATAACATTAATACTACAGTTTATTGACAATATTTATTATTAAATAAATATATGTTTTTCTTGAGTAGTCCTTTAGTGAGGAATTTTAAATGCTGTTTAAGTATTTAAGGTAGAAAATTATAATATACTTCAATGATATATGAATTAAACATTTATCACAAATTGATTTAGATTCACTACAGATTAAATAAAAGTGGGTATGTTCTATTCTAAGTCTTGTAATTATTGTCTTTTCATTTCTTTTACTGTCCGTATTGTGTTTCAATTTGTTTATAATCTTTTTAATATTTCCTAATTTGTTTGAAAGAGATTTTCCATTCTAATATATAATTTGATTCAATTTAATATACACTAATGAGTGGTACTTTTGTAAGAGTTTTTAATTATGTACTTTTCTTATAAAAGTTTAAAGTTTAAAATATTTTAAGATCAAATAAAATCTTTCATTTAAATAACTTAATAATAAAATTTCCTATATAATTTCTAATAGTGTACTTAAGCATATTTTTATATCAAAATTCCTGTAGTTTATTCATTAAAATCAAAATTCATAAAACAAGAAGATAAAAAAATATGAATTTAATTAGTTTTATTAATTGTAAAAAAAAAAAACATAATGAAAATTAACAGAATACTACTTTTATAAGTTAATTTTATAAAAATTAATATACTTTATAGCTTTGATGTGTAGCTGAGAAGGTTTTACTATGATGTGTTTTTTTATTTATTTATTTATTCTTTTTTGTGTCTGTTTTTTATCTTCACAGTGAAAAAGGCTACCAAATGCTATTTTTGTGTGAAAATTTTCGATTTTGTATTTAAAATTTTTAATTTTATTATGCTATAACTATTTGAAAAATGTATGGATCAATATAATTTTTCATGAGAAGTAGTATTTATATACATCTTTCATTCGACATACTATATTTTTAAATGAGACCATTTTCCTATATACGAGGGGGGTTCAAATCTAAAAAATGCATATAGAAAGTAGAACTTTTTCTACTTAACTTTTGAAAGTGTTCCGGAAAGTCTGACACTTTTATATATATCTTAAATTAAAGCTAATGTAATATACTTTATTATGAAAAAAAAATTTTCATGGTAAAAACAGACATCAAAGTTAATAAAAAAAATACGATTTTTGTAAAAAAATCTTTTTTATATTCTTAATTTTATAATGCTATAACTTTTTGAAAAATGTATGGATTATTATATTTTTTTTGAGATAAGTACTATTTATATTTATATATTATTAATATATATATATATATTTATTTATTTATTCATATATTACACTCTGAATCATAAAACTTGTAATCAGAATATAAATAATGAAATAGGAGATCCTGTAGCTTTTGGAATAATCCATTAATTTTTTTAAAATAAACACTATCTACAGATTTGCATCAAAGCATTTTTTATGATAGTGATTTTAATCACTATCAGATAATATCTATGCTGGACCCAACTATGCCACAACCCCACTGTACTGTGTTTTTTTTAAGTCGGGTTACAACTACATAAGTTACCAATTAATAAACACATTTTTTTTGATACTATAACAACAGATTTTATAAAAAACGGAAAATATATTGAAAAAAATTAAAAGACACAAGATCAAAAATAAAAAATGAATGTTTATTTTGCTGACTCTTTTCAACAATATTATACCTCTATCTTTATTATTTAGAAAGTGATTTTTTAAGACTTAAAACGCATTAAAATGTCTTAAAAATTATATAATTCAGTTCTTGAAAGGCTTTATATTGAGGTTTAGATGAAATAATTTTTCTGGAATATACTATTCTTTTAGGATAGTCTGATAACTGACAATACTTAAAAACATTAAACACATTACTTTTACAATAATGAAAGGAGTGAGTAATAAATGGGAATTATCATATATGAAATGAACTTATAAATATGATTATATAAAATATAATATAAATTCATATATCATATGAATTTTTTTTATTATTGTTTGAATCTTAAGTTAATCATATGATTTATTTTAAAGAATACATACTTAGGAGCCGCAGGTCTATATAATTTGTCTACTTTTAAATTTCCAAGCTCGGGTTTTCGATCAAACATTACTAATTCACAATCAATAATTTTATTTTTAATAGCATCTCTACAATAAATGGTTTTAAAAAAATGTATAATTTATTTATTTTTCCGTTATAAATATCAAATGTATAAAATTACTTAGACAATAACTTACTTAGATTTTATAAATAAATTTTTTTCTTTAAAATGTTTTTTACTAGATTTTCCATGTCTTTTCTTATATAATTTGTAAGATTCGTGAACATTTAATTTTTTTGTTTTATCAACAGTTTTTTTGTTTAATAATTCTGATGCATTTGGTTCAAAACTTGAGTTTTTAAGCCATTCTGACGATAAAGTTTTTTCTTCATTATCTAATAAAAATATAAAAAAATTATAAATACCACCTTTTTATTTCAACTCACTTTTTTGTTTAAAAAAGTATTAAGAGCTTTATAAAAAAAAAATAATAATAATTTAGTATTAGATCTCCTGTGTATGTCAGTTACTAAAAAAGGATAAGTTGGTACATACATTAAAAATATTCTACCTTTACAATAATAGATACAAATTTTTATAAGAATTCAATTATAATTTCTAGATCTTCTATACTTAAATGAATAAATAATTTTGTGATTTTATTAAATATTATATATGTAAATCAAGGCCACTAAATTAATTATTTAAAAGTAGTTATAAAGAATTGGTTAGACATAGTTGAAGTGTTTGTCACAAATGATTCCGTAGGTTTTGTCAAAACAAAAACAATTTTTTTTTTAATCCCTATATGTAGCAATAGACTAATAATCTATCTATAAATATATTAGAAATAAATTTATCTAGTTGCATAAGACCTATTTAAGCATTTCTTTTTTTAATTCTGCTTTTAAAATTAAAATCTTATTCTTGCATAATTGTTTTCATTTTATAGTTGGGAAATTAAAGTCATTTAAAATGTTAACCGCCACTTAGTTGTGTCACTATCACATTATTTGATTTAATTTTTGAATTTTTATGACCATGAACAACTGTATTTGATCATTTTCTGTATGTTATATAACCCACTGATGACCAAAATTAGAATTTATTATTGACAATACATATTGAAATAAAAAATAATTATTTTTATCTATATTAATAAACATAAATATTAAAAATTTTAATATAGTCTAAGAATGCCTAAATTATTTTAAATGTTACACAAAATATTTAGAAGATCAAAAGTTAATAGATTTGCCAAAACATCTTGAAGAACTCTCAATACTCAAGAATTAAAATTTATTTAAAATACTTATATAAAAATATATATAATAATGTATGTTAAACTACATAATCTTGTACAAAAGAAGCCTTAAGTTTAATGAAAAATATAAATATATAATTATATGATTGGTTTTGACAAAATTCTTATCAGGTACACTAATAAATAAATAATCAACGAGGGCTTGTTTATCTAATTTAATATATTTTATTGTATAAATTTCAAAACATAAAAATTTATTAGTCAATTAATAGTAATTTATAATTTGACTTACGTAGCAACTCTTCACCTGGGGATCCGGCATTATTTAAATACGCAGGAAACAAAGACATAATTCTTTGAACAATTCTTTAACTATAATTTAAAACAATTTTTTTTTTAATTTGAAATTACATATTAGTTATCTAAAAAAATTAAATCTAGGTTAACCGTTCTTTATTATTAAACGCATTATACAACATTTTTATGCGTTATATGGGATGTACATCGCACCAAATTTGATTAATCGTTGAGTGAACTAAATTAGTGGTGTTCTAATTAAAATTTCCTCATTATTTTATTATCACGCATGAACTATGTTGATGAACATAGATATAGATAATAACATAGACCTAATACTCAGTATGTGGTCCATTGAGATTAGGTTTATTATCTATATCTGTAGTGTATAGAAAATGCCTAATGAAAATGGATAACGTAATTATTACAAGTAAATACAAGGATTATACAACTGTCACGAATTTATTATCACCGATAGCAAATGAATAGAATACAATATTAGGGCCTGATAATAAATATACGACAGCTATATGAAAATATAATCTGTGTTATACGATACCTGATAACCACACAACACAATTGAAACATTGGCCATATTTCATATGGCCGCCAAGCTTAATAGGAAAAATTAGTGTTGGCTAACAATAATTATATATCAGTTGTGCAAGAGAGCGGTGGTATTGACGAGGACGTAAGACACAGGATTAAGTGCGGGTGGTTGAAGTGGAGAGAAGGGTCTGGCGTCTTATGCGATAAAAGAATTCCAATGAGGCTGAAAGGTAAATTCTATAAGACTGTAGTAAGACCAGCTATGATGTATGGTTCAGAGTGTTGGCGGTTGATAAGAAAGTAGAGCAGAGAATGAGTGTAACAGAGATGAGAATGCTTAGATGGATAAGTGGAGTGACTAGAAAAGATAGAATAAGGAACGAGCATATAAGAGGGAGTATAGGTGTAGCGTCAATCGTGGATAAGATGAGAAAAAATAGAACTAGATGGTTTGGTCATGTTATGAGAAAAGAAGAATCGGAAGCTGTAAGAACAGTTATAGAAATGAATGTTGAAAAAAGAAGAAATAGAAAAAAAAACCCAGCACAGTGGGTTCGCGGCATAGTGGGGACGTTGCATAGTTAGGTACAGTATAGATTTAATCTGACAGTGATTAAAATCACTATCATAAGAAACGCTTCGATGCAAATCTATAGATAGTGTTTAATTCTAAGAAATTGATGGATAATTACACAAAAGCAACAACAACTTCTATTTCCTTAATTATACCCAGATTAGTAATTCTTTTAATTATATATTATATATTTTTATAATTAATTGTTTTCAAATTATTATTGATTTTGATTTTTAAGATGTTAAAATTAATAATATTGAACTTACTTTTTTTTGTCCTTTAAAGTGAAAGTTTTAATAAAAAAAAAAAATGAATTTATTACCATAACTTTTAGCTCACTTGCAAGTTTGACATTAGACATTATTAAATAGAAAAAAATGAAATTGTTAAGATTAATATGCAATCAGAAAATTTTATAATTACTATTTATAGTACATTCATCAGTAAAGTTCGATTTTTTTTTACATTTTTATCGTAATAGATCACTTAAATAAAAACCATAGTAATTATTTCTAATTAACTTTTGGTGTTTATAAAGATTCTACAATGGAAATATTCAGAATTCAATTAATTTTAATGATTATATATCTAAAAAAACCAATAAAAAAAAAGTAGTTAAAAAGATTTACTCAATTGAGTTTATTATAAAATTTGATTATAATTGTAAAAATCCTTCATTAATTTCAGGTGAAACTAAAAATAATTTTTTTTTTAAATTTATGATTTATATAGCAACATGTTACAAAAAAAATTAGAATATTATAGACTGGTAGTAGCACACACAAATAGATTTAAAAAATTAATAAATTACAAAGTAAAATTATTTACTATTGTAGTTGAATACTTTTATCATATCAAATCTAATTCGAAAATAAATACTTTAAGAATATTAGAAATTAATGATTTTAATTGTTTGTATGGAAAAAGCTGGTTACTTTTTATTCGAATATAGAATATTTTTTCGATTTTTAAGAGTATTAACTTAAACTAAATACGAATTGTAATCATTTGACGTATCGTTGAAAAAAGTAGGTCTAGTGAGGGTTGGCAAAATAAATCGTAGCCACAAAAAGAACCACATAGTAAAATAATATTAACATGAATATAAATTTCTTCTCACGGGGGGAGACTATAGTGATAGGATCCTTTATATTTATTGAAGTTACTGAATCTAAATGAGATAAATATCGAATGATTTAAAAATTTTATTCTATCTCAAAAAAAATGCAAAATATTAATTGGTACAGACGGATTTGAATATTTCAACATTATTTTTCGGATTTGAACTTCGTACCCTTAGCGTGAAAGACATAAGTGTTACCGATTCTGCAACTGTTCGTTGCTCTCGTGGCACGAAAAAAATGGCTATTTAAGTTAACTCCAATTTAAAAATTACTTTTTCGACATTAAAAAAGTAAAAAAATTTAATAAGTTTAATATCTTGTCTTATGAACTTAATTCTATGTCTATTAAATTATATAATATTCATGAAAGTCTGTGTATTCCCCTAATAAGATATTTTAAAATAAAATAAAATACAAAACCCAAAATTTGAATACATAAATAGCATATTTTTGAATACGGTAGTCATTTGCGCATAGAAAATAGGTCGTCGGGATAAATTTTTTTTTTTAATTTTATAGTACATGGCATAAGCTTTAATTTAACATATGTTTAAAGGACGCAGTATTTCCGGAACACTTTCAAAAGTTATGTTGAAAAAGTTCTATTTTTTATACAATGTTTCAAGTTTTGAACGCCCCCTATATATGTAGATATTGTCCAATTTTAATAAAAAGTATGTCAAATGAAAGATGTTCTTATAATGTATTAAAAAAAAAAACATTTGTGCTGATAATTACATTTTTCGAAAAGTTATAGCATTTGTAAGTTGAAAATTTAAAATCGAAAATTTTAACACAAAAATAGCGTTTTTTTAACTACGGCAGCCGTTTACATGCAGAAGATAAAGTCTTTGGACAAATTTTTTTTTTCATTTTGTAGTACATAAAATAAGCTTTAATTTGATATATGTTTAAATGACGCAGTATTTCCGGAACATTTTCAAAAATTAAGTTAAAAAAGTTGCTATTTTAAATCTCCCCCCAATGAGCAGGTTAAGTGTTAAATTTTCAAAAAAATGATATCAACTGAAAGGTAAATATCTAAGGTATTTATAAAAAAAAAATTATATTAATATGTTCATTTTTAAAAAAGTTTTGGCAATTTTAATAAAAAAAATTGAAAAAATTGAAAATTAGCGATTTTTAAATTTGTAATTTTTTGGGGAATTTCCCCCGTTTACGGGGAACGAGGGAAAATTTTTCAATTTTTAAGGGTAATGTCTTCAACTAGATACGATTTGTGATCTTTTGACGTATTGTTAAAAGAAATCGGTCCAGTGAGAGCTGAGAAAAAGTGGCAACAGACATAAAAAAAGAAAAAAAAACACATCATAGTAAAATTAATACCTTCTCAGTTTCGCATGGAAGCTAAAAAATAAATGAACACATCATGGTAAAATTAATACCTTCTCAGCTTCGCATCGAAGATAAAAGAGATGGAGCAATGTAATTGAATGCCATATGAGGACATCTGATATGAGCGTAGAGGATGTGGAAGATCATGTCAAGTGGAAGTTTAGGATAAGGGAGGCCGACCCCAAGTAGTTGGGATTAAGGTAAGGAAGAAGAAGAAGAAGGTCAATAATTATATATCTATGAACCGGATTAAGAACTATACGGTTCTTGGGACGCTACTATAAGAACCTATTTTAAGAAAATATAGCTTCTATGAAAAAGAGATGAGCAAAAAATAGGTTATTTTTATTTAAAATATATCTTTGTAAAGTAATAAAATTCAAATCGAGCCCTGGGTAACTCGGCCCATAGCCCCTCATTAATCCTGTCCAGAAATTTACTACAACGTAGTGATGGGCGATTTATCTCGATTTTATCGTTGAATCGATTTCCTTTATTGATAAACTTTGAGCTAAAAATAACGATTACATGATAATTGTTAAAAAATCTTTGTTAATGTTAATAACTAAAATTTTAAAGTTTAATGATTATTAATAATTATTGCAATAATAAAAACATTTGTAATATAAATTTTTTTATTTTAAATTCTTCTTCGTTATTTGCATCAACATTAAGCTTTATTTTATATTCTTCTACTGTGTTAGTAATGAGAATGTGTTATGTAAGTAATAGCTTCAATTAGTTCCTTATTTTTGTGTTTAATTTTTGTTGGAGGATAATATTTATTTTTTAAGTTTTGACTTATTATAGATTCGTACGTTTCCCAATACTATCCTCCAAGTTTACGAAACAAAACCTGTATAAGAACTCTATAAGAGTTTTTCACCTTTGAAATAATTATTTATGATTTCAAAATGTAGAAAAGAATTTGGTTCTTTCGGAGCATGTTTAAAATTTTCTAAAACATTTCTGATGTTTTCTAGAACTTCATTTATTAAATGAATAAACTTATATATATATATATGAACCGGTATCAAGTTAGAATTATCGCCAACCAGGCACTACATGAATGCTCTCTCTTCAGTAGACTACTGACTTGCAAAGTTTTTTTAATCACATTTTCCATGGTAGAAAACCGCGTTTATGTTTTTTTTTGTCCTCAATTATTAGCTTTGATGCGAAGTTGAGAAGGTATTAATTTTAGTATATGTTTTTATAAAAATGTTCCCTGTTAAAAGGGTAAATATCCCAAAAAATTCTGATTTTTAAAATCAGTAAATTTCGACATTCTTTAAACTATTTCCTTAAAACTGCCATAACTTTTTCAAAAATGACCAAATCAAAATAATTTTTTTAAAAAAATTTTTAAAAAAGCCTTATCCATTTCCCATTTATTTGATAGAACATTTTTGAAAATCTGATCCTTTACCTGCCCACAAGAAGGGTTTCAAAATAACAACTTTTTTTACAAAACTCAACTTTTTCAACTTAAATTTTAAAAATGTTCCAGAAACACTGCATTTTTAAAACATATGTCAAATATAAGCTTATGTAATGTACTTTAAATTAAAAAAGAAAATATATTCCGACGACTTATCTTCTATGTGTAAACACCTGTCGTAGTTAAAAAATAAGCTATTTTCGTGTTCAAATTTTATTTTTACCTTCGATGCGAAGCTGAGAAAGTATTAATTTTACTATGATGTGTTTTTTTTTTATTTTATTTTTTTTTTTGTGTCTGTGAACGCTCAATCTCAGCTCTCGCTGGACCGATTTTGATGAACAATATGTCAAAAGATCACAAATCGTATCTAGTCGAAGACATTACCCTCAAAAATTGAAAAAAATTCCCTCGTTCCCCGTAAACGGGGGAAATCCCCCAAAAAA